CCCCAAAACCCCAAAACCCCAAAACCCCTCATTACAGATTCAGAATAGAATATTTTATTTTTAGATATTCGTATAATAAAATATTTTTATATAGTTCTACTAAAATACAATGGAGTATGACATTGAGTAATCTCGGATCAGTTTACATCCATACTAGAGTATAGACACCTTAGTCAGTACTTACAAAATGCCTAAGTAAATGAGGATCGATCAATAAATTCGTGATCAGTGATTAAGTTAAGAGCGATACCGTGACTGCATCATAAAAAACAAGAAGAATCAAGTTAAAAATTCTCGAAACTTAAATTCAATTGCAATGGCTTAAAACTCAGTACTCGTTGAGAGTAATAGTTCTCCTTTTAGAAGGCCAGGTGCCTTGTGTGTCAGCTGTTCAAGCAAAAAGGAGTTGAAAGCAGCCATGTATAGAGCCTTTCGAAAGAAGTATTAGTTTATTATTGATCTTAAAAACGTGTAAGAAGAGCAAAATAAAATCAAAGTGAGGGAGGAGGACTAAGAAAGCTCAGATAGCTTTCGATCTATAGACTTTAAAGAAAGAAATAAACAAAAACTAGCTATAAGTTTAATGGGGAATAAATACAGGTATAAGAGTAAAGTTGAAGGGATAAATGATTTGTACAGCTCTAAGGATTTTGTAAATATAAATTAGTCAGCGATTACTATTTTACCTGAAATTGATTAGAAGTTTAAGAGAGAATTCAATGATTATGACTCAGCAATAAAGGACATTAAGAATTGTGGGAAGTATAATGGTAAGAAGCTAAGAGCTGCCTAAGCTGAAAATATAATGATTAGAAAGCGCAATCATGAGTTTTTCTAAGAGTTAAACACTATGTCTCTCGGACTTATAAAGAAGAAATTCGATTATTCGAGAGCAATTAAGAGAAATTATAAGAATAATAGTTAAGCCTAATAAGTTTGAAGAAACTATGAATGAGTAAATATGACAAGAGCATCCTACGAATTTAATGATTATTTGGATTTTTAAGCATTAAAATAAATCTTAGCGTTATGATATTGTCATGGGGTTTTGGGGTTTTGGGGTTTTGGGG